CACTGCGCCATGCCTCCTTCGACCAGGCCATGGCCTCGACCAGAGGTACCTCATAGAGCCTACTTTGTCGTCCTTCCATGACCGAGTTGATCTGATCCAATGCATTCTGCAGCTGGCGTTGCTTCACCTTCGCCTTGAACGACGCGATTATCCCGGCGTCTTGGGGCTGCAGGTGCGTCATCGTATTAAGTGGCAACATCTTGAGCTGGACATTGGTTAGCACCGTGGCTTCATCCACGGTATGCGGCGGGGCATTGTCGACAAGGAGAAGAACGTTTCGGTCCTGCGCGGCCATACGCCAAGAACGAGTTGAAGATCGATCCTGTCATCCACGCCTTTTTGCTCGAGTGGTAATCATATCCAAGGTCGCTGCCGGTACGTCTGTCGAAGCATCGTGGCCGCACTGCTGTCCCGATGAATAGGGGATCGACCATGTCCGAGCCATCGGCATTTGTCGTTAGAGCCAGCGTGACACGTTTCGAAACCTTTTTCGTCCCCGGGACTCGGTGGCGTGTAATGGATCGAGGCGGCGACAGACAGTAGAATGTATTATGAATTAATTAATCAAAACAAATTAGAAGAAGGAAGTTTCGTCCATGTTGTACACGTCCATGGCACTGAAACCACTTGTAGCTGCCTGGATGTCGCGGCGGCCTTCTGCGACGGCTTCAAGGGACGTCGAGCCGGCCTCGCCGTGCTGGATCTTGCTGGTGAGTCCATGCTTTCGCTGAAATTTAAACAGACATCCTATTGAAAACGAGAGGCGCTGACCCTCAGGTTGGCTAGGTCTTCGCAGAGTACGGTGGCATGCTTGCGAATGAGCTCGCCAGTGAGACAGACTCCAAGCTCTTCGCACCGTAGCACCCATTCCACGAGCCTGGACTCAACGGCAGGCAGAGCAACGTCGAGGTCAATGGAGCGTGCTTTGATGTCGGCACGCTGGCTTTGTATCTTGTGTCGCGCGATGGCGCGTCCGACGTTCTGATTCGATGGCGTAGAGCACAGATTGAACGTCTCCTTAGCCCAAAGTGCCAGCTCGGAATGCGTCAAATGTGGTTCTTGTAAATGCTTAACATGCAAGGCATGTTTGTCGCCCAACATCATGCGCGGCTTCCTCTCTGAATTGACTTTAGCCACATTGACATCATGCATGCATTTGCATATTTGAATGAACTTTGTCATGTGATATTATTCATTTCCAGAAATTATAGTGTTTAGCCGTTCCAAAGTCGGGGGGAAATCAGTAGTTTGATTAGCATATTTTAAAAATCTCCCCCTCCATTTTTGCGATTTCATGAAGTCGGACATTCTTTTTCGGATGGAGGTAGTATGTAATAAAATTTCCAGCAAAACTCAACGTCGAAATAATATTACCTCATACAAATATCAAGATATTACACTAGTACAACGGAGGAAGGATTTCCGTCGTTCCCCGTAATCTCTTGATAGATCCTTGTGTGTTATGGATAATACTACCCACATACGAAATTTGAGATGATTTTGTGTTGATTTGATTAACAGTGGTCGAACGCATCGACCGACCTTTTTTACAATTTGCATGTTTATGAATGAATTTTTTCATAAAAAATTGTTGTAATGCTCCGTGAATTCTTCTGAATACAATGGAATTGATTACAATCCTTCAAACAGAATACTCTTTATGAAATGGTCAATCAAAGTCAAGAATGATCGTCAATTTGCATCCTAAATAGTTATAGTCTCCGACAATTGATAAAGTTCTCACAAGAGTCTATTCGTTCGTAGTGTCGTAATAACCTTGACGGAATTTATTTGTTTGCCATCCGATAATTCATGCTTCATTTTAATTGGTCAGCTTTAGGGTCATGGGTGCATCGTTTGCATGATTATTCACCTTTCATTCTTCAACAAGCCCGCAATGCCTGGACTCGCTACTGAGCTCTACGACGAGATCATCAGCTTCGTCGATAGTGTGCGAACGCGCAGTTTTTCGGTGGAAATGGCCGCGTACCTGGACTCCGTCGACGATGCAGACGATGCGGCTGGAACTCCTTTCTCCTCAGACAGCGAAATCGAAAGTGATGGTGACAGCTGCGACGAATGCACCTTAGGTGACTACGAAGGTGATGAGTAATTCCTCTAACAGTAAATAATTTTCAAAATGAATAATATTTACTGCAAAAGCACCGAAGAGGTTGTGATCTCTGAAACTTGATGAATTATCCGGAAGGTCGGTCGATGCGTTCGACCACTGTAAGTTCCGATTGGCTCATTGACTTGTTTTACGGATACAGGGCCGCCTTTTTCTGTGGCTTTACTTCCAATTTTCGCGCCTACAGACCTCCTTGTGATGGTGCA